AGTGTATTAAGGATAAATAATACAAACATGATAAATAAAAGTTTGCTTGTATGCTTTAAATATATCCTTTTACTATTCTTCAGTTCTTTTTTTTTTAAACTGTGAAGTTTTGAGTCTATGTTTATTATATACATTCTCAACATACTTTCAACTTTGATGAGGAGGATTTGTATATGAAATAGAATCATTCATTAGGTTGACAATTACTAAATTATTAATCAGATTGACCATCATTTTATGCTTATAATCAACTTGTGTCATTTGCTTACATGTTGCACTAATTTTCTGTATTTTTCTAATGACAAGGTTCGAGAAGATACAAAGGAAGAATTTGTTATTTTTTAAAAAATAAATTCCCATGTCAGGAAGACAGGAACTCAGAGTGATAGCACAGACATGAGATCAGTTAAGATCAGATAAATTGTTGCAAATTAATAAAAACTTCTATATCAGAAAATATGAATTTTGTAATTGAATTAATCACTTACAAGGAGAACATAGAGCTTACAAGAATCAGAATAGATTTCCTGCCTGATGTGCCTTGCCCATTTCTTCCTTGGAGTGTGTTCGACAAAGCTAACTGCTCACTGTCTTCCTACCAATTCTTTTCACTTCTTGTGATGCTATCCTGAGCTGGATGCTTCCTGAAGCATTTGAGTTTTATCACATTAAAAACAAGTATTTAAGGGGCTGGTGCTACTCAAAGCTGACATCTCTTATGAATCAGTGAATGGAAGACTTCTCTCTCTCTCTCTCTCTCTCTCTCTCTCTCTCTCTCTCTGTTACTCTGCCTTTCTTTATGTTTTTATAATTTTTATTTAAGGTATATAAGTCCCATGGATTTTATATACACAGTTTTAAGAATATAGTGGTACTTCCCAACCTTACCTAACCCCCGTCCACTTCCATTCTTCTTCCTCCCCCCTCTTCGATTCCCACTCTTAATTTTTCTGAAATCCATTTTCAATAACTCTTTCCTTCAAATAAACAAATGAATCTTCAAAAAATAATAAAATGAGAACAATTTATGAAAAGACAGAAAGAAAATCTGTCAGTTGTGACAATACGGAAAAACTGAAGGATATTATCCTAATGAAATAATAACTCAAGCACAGAAAGACCATGACCAAATGATCTCATTCATACTTCTTAGCTAAACCTTTCCAACTTGTAGATTCAAAGAGTAGAATGGAGACATGTTAGTCAAAGGTTAAAAATTTTAGATGGGTAGCAAAATACATTTTAGGGATCGATTAGCATAAAATGGTGACTATAATTAAAAGTATGTGTTTTCACACTTACAAAGAGTACATTTTAAATGTTCTTACCACCAAAAGTAAGTATGTGAGATGATGTGATAATTTAATAAGTTGAATTTAATCTCTTCACGTGTATACCTATATCATATCATGATATTTTAAATCACCTCTATATATCTTATAATATTTAATTTAAAATATAAAGTTAGCCTTTAAAATAAGAAATATATTTATATTGAAAGGTCATCTCTATTTACTGAATTTCCCCTTCTCATTTAGACATTATTATATTTTAAATTCAATATATCTATACATATATGTTAAAAATATAAAACATTACCAAATACATTACTGGTAAATTTAAAAGTTCAACATCAGATTTACAAGTTAAACATGAGACATATACATATCATATGATTTATGCCTTCGTAAGTAACAGTAACTCTCTTGGTGAACTAGCAGAGCAAATATATTCTATTATTTTGTATCTACATATTCCAAATTTTCTGTAATTATGGTAACTAATATGGTATAGAAAGCTTGGGTTAAATACAAACTTTTATTTGCATAACACAATGTAGTTAAAAGCAAGAAATGGATACCTAAGTAGTACCTAGTTATTCCTGTTCTTTAAGGAATTTTACATATATTTTCAAAATTATAATGTGGGAAAATAGACATATGCATGGTAATATCCAAAGATAATTGCATGTACTTTGTCTTCATATTTATCAGTATTCTAGAATGTATGAAATTAATCTACACGGATAATTTAATACTATACGTAGTACCCAAAATGAAAATGAATTGATCAAATATTGAGAGCAGGCTCTAAGATGCTATATTATATTACTAGTCAGTCAGTATCAATCAGAATACTTGGAAAGACCTGATGTCTGACAAATGATCTAATAGAAACACTTAGGTCTTGTTGTGTATGTATTTATTTATTTTAAAATATCTATGAATCAATTAATTTAAGAGATTATTAAAATTTTCAATACTTCAAAAAAACAAAACTTATACAATTTTTATGTACATGTACAGAAAGTTGACAAGAAAAAGTCAGTAGACATAAGGCAGCAAAGCGTGTCCATGAAACGAAGCAAGAATAATTACTGGAAACTATTTAAAAACAGTGATTGAATTATCTTAAAGAAATACTTATGTGAGAGAGAGAAAGAGGAGGAGGACAGATTCAAGACTTGATAATAAAGCAATCAAACAAGCAAAAATAAAAAACAGTAAGCACCTGTGTCCTTTAATATCTTGCTTCCTCTCCCAGATTCCTAGCCCAGAGTCACAGAAGTCCACTGCAGGTCAATGCAGCCTAGACCCACAGGCTGCTTCACCCCATAGCTCCCAGTTGAATGCTGTGATATCAGCCACAGGCCCTGGTACCCAACAGAGTGCTTGTATTCTCCTTTCTTTCTCACAGCAGGCCTGCTCTGAGCTTCAAAAGCTAATTCTAGAGAAGTGTGGGAAAGAAAGTCTTCTTCCTTCATCCAGTAATAATCTTTTTTTCCTTTTTTTTAATTTAGTAAATATAAATTTCCAAAGTACAGTTTATGGATTACATTGGCTCCCCTCCCATAACTTCCCTCCCTCTCGCACCCCTCCCATCTCCCGCTCCCTCTCCCATTCCATTCACATCAATATTCATTTTCAATTATCTTTATATACAGAAGATCGATTTAGTATATATTAAGTAAAGATTTCATCAGTTTGCACCCACACAGAAGCACAAACTGTTTCAGTACTAGTTATAGCATTACTTCACATTGAACAACACACTAAGGACAGATCCCACAAGAGGAGTAAGTACACAGTGACTTCTGTTGTTGACTTAACAATTTGACACTCTTATTTATGGCGTCAGTAATCTCCCTAGGCGCTAGTCATGAGTTTCCAATGCTATGGAAGCCTTTTGAGTTCACCAACTTCAATCTTATTCCGACAGGGTCATAGTCAAAGTGGAAGTTCTCTCCTCTCTTCAGAGAAAATACCTCGTAATATTCTTATCACAAAGAGGGATTCTAATCAAGCATTGCACACTGGAATTCTAATTCCTGACAGTCCTTGCCTACTTCTGTCCATTGCCATCACTCAGAGACTGGGGATTACCAGATGGGAGAAACAAAGACTGTAGGTTAGCAATTTACTCTTCAAGTAGGATGTCTTTCACAGAGAAGTTGCCCATGCTGTTGCCTCCATGTGCTATATGATACCTTTACAGAAAACGGCCAAATACGCAAGTCAGTAGAAACATAAATTAGTGACTGCCTTGGACAGAAGGAATACTAAATTATGACAGAGGGCTGAATTTGGTGAGAAGATGTTCAAAAATTGAGCATTTGTGTGAATTTTCTATGAAATAAATAATTTTACATTTTAAATTGAAACTTGCATATATTTTAAGTATATTTAAAGAAATTTTTGTATGAAGAACCTCCTTCAATCATGTTATCCAAGAAACAAGGATCAGCTGCATGATTGTTTTATGTCTACATCACTGACAGGGAGATTGCAGATGCAAGTCACTTCACTTAAAATTGCTTTGGGAACTCTTCTAAAATCTCTTACATACCACAGTTATCCTACACACCCATGGCTTTGCCTTAGGGCAGGATGAATCACTTAACCATAGGAGAGACCATAAAGCACTCAGTTGGACACAACAATATCTAATTTTGCTTTTCTGCCTGCCATCCTGGTTTCCAAGCTCTGGTTGCTCATATCATGTATTTATTTTAACCAATGCAACTTATACTTTAACTCTGTGTTAAGTTTCTTCTTGGATAAAACCATAAGGAGCAAAGGAAAGGAAGAGCAAGTGTCGAGGAAGCATTGCATTTCCCCAGGATGTCCAGGAGATGTGTCTCACTTCTCCTGCTGCTGCTACAGCTGAGTTGCTGCTTCAGCTCTGGGAGTTGTGGAAAGGTGCTGGTGTGGTCCATGGACTACAGCCACTGGATGAATATGAAGACAATCCTGGATGCACTTGTCCAGCGAGGTCATGCAGTCACTGTTCTGAGATCTTCTGCTTCTATTTTAATGGACAACAATGATGAATCAGGAATTCACTTTGAAACTTTTCACACATCTTATACTAAAGGTCAAATAGAAGTTTATTCATGACCAATTAATACATTGATAAATGATGTGTCAAAATATGCATATTGGGATTATTTCCCACTACTGCAAAAATTATTCTTTGAATATTCTGATATTCATGAAAATCTCTTCAAAGACCTAGTTATGAACAAGAAAATCATGGCAGAGCTTCAGGATTCAAAGTTTGATGTTGTTCTTGCAGACCCAATTGCTCCCTGTGGTGAGCTGCTGGCTGAGCCACTGAACACACCCCTTGTGTACAGTTTCCACTTCACTCCTTGCTACACCTATGGAAAGTGTAGTGGGGGACTTCTATTTCCTCCTTCCTTTGTGCCTGCTATTATGTCAGATTTAAGTGGACAAATGACATTCACGGAAAGCGTAAAAACATGCTATGGATGCTTTATTTTGACTTTCTGTTCCAAATGTTTTATGTGAAGAGGGGGGGATCAGTTCTGTAGTGAAGTTCTAGGTAAGTCATGATTTTAGATGCTAGTGAATTCACAGCTTTCCTGTTACTTTGTGGGTGATCTTTCATGAATGGAAAATCAGTCCTCCATAGGTGAAATAGTGAAATGATAATGTAATAATATCGTGCAATTTCAGTAGTGTTATGGAAAGGCTTACCTTACAGAGTCAGTCACGTTCCAGTGCCTCACTCCATGGCTGTCATTCCAGGACTCACTCAACTACAAATGAAGCACCAGGAATTTCCTTATGCAAATCTGTATCCATTTTAGTATCCATTTTTTATGTCATAAAAAGTCAGGGGACACATCTTTACTATGTTGATCAATTAAGACAGTTGGATTCATTTGCTACACTCATTTCGAGGACTAATATCTATGTGACCTTGAGGAAATGATTTTCCAAGCATAGATCTGTTGATTCATGCAAAATTAAACTACATTTGCATATTGCCTAAAAGAGCGATTCACATTTTGGAGACAAAGAGGATTTTCCAGATAGAAAACCTGGCGTTTTGTAATGTTGTCACATTCTTTCATTAAGTCCTTGAAAATAATCTGTGTAATATCTAAAATTTTGTTTAAATATAGACATATGAAATTACTCTTTGTTTTTTTTTGCAAGGTGTCCGATGTATAACAAATCTTCCCAGGCAGACGAATCAATCAATTCACAAGCTTTTATTGGGATTCTGCTCCCGAGTGAGGTTCCCTGGTCCCAATAGAGCTTGAGCCATGGGAGTCGCGCATCAGAGGTTGGGAGGGCTCCCTATATAGATACAGGGCGTGGGGGTTAAAGGTAGAGGCAGGTCTGATCCTCATTGGTTGACTTTTAGGCACCCGTGGGGACCTTAGCAAGGACTTTTCATCCCTGGAAGTGTTGGTAGGGACTCTCTATTCCTGGAAGTGTAGGTCTTCTCACCTTGTGGATCCCAAAGCTAGCATTTTAAAATTATATTTCTCCATTTCTTTACAATAATTATCCAATGTAAAGTTACACAAAAAAATCTCTATTTCCATTGTTTAAAAACATTACCATGTGATATTTGGCAATATTTCTATATAAATTTCCATGTAAATAAATATTATTAAGCTGCTAACATGAACCAAAAACAGTAACAATTAGTAACAGTCAGGCCTATTAAAAAAAAGCCACAACTCATCAAAAAATCAAGGATTAGAGATCAGTTTGCTAAACTGTGGACACTGGGAAAATTGATCTCAGGATTACTGTAGGATTTCTTGACTCTCTAGCTAAGATAATTGTTCTTATTTGAAACTGCAACTTGTGTAACTTTAAAGAGGAAAAAATGCATGTTTCACTCTATAGTGTCCTATTTTGATAACAAGGGTTGTGACAATAGTGAATTGATATTAATGACATTTTATTTGCATATATATAATATGTGAACAATGCATAGTATATTTATATACTTATGTTGCATTTACATATGTATATTTGTTTTATTAATTCACAGACCCTTTATACATCAACTGCATCATTACATTTAGTTATGTGGTATACCTCATGTGACAATTCTCTCTTTCCCTGTCTTTTCCTCATTTTCTTCCATTCAGGAAGACCTGTTTCATTTTCTGAGCTAGTGGCGAGAGCTGAAATATGGCTCATTCAAAGCTACTGGGATTTGGAGTTTCCTCGCCCACTACTACCAAATGTTTATTTTGTTGGAGGGCTCCACTGCAAACCTGCCCAACCTCTGCCCAAGATAAATATCCTCCTGTTTGCTTTTTTTTGCATAAATTTTTCAGAGGAAGTACTAAAAGAGATATTGGAAATGGGTGAATGGGCCCTACTAACCAGAAACTCACATGAGAGGATTTCACAACTAAGTATTTTTGAATCAGAACATAATTAATACCTCCATGAACTTTTTGAAATCATCTTTTATATTTCTAAGCCATCATATGTATACAGAAGTCAATATCATTAAGAATAACAGATTATCTAAGAGACTTTGAGAATAGAGTCAATTAAAGTACTTCTTTATTCAATATATAAGAAAAATATTGAATTTTAATTCACTGTATATTCATAAAGAGACTAGGACACAAGAAACGCAACTGCTGGACATACAGAGAAAAAAAATAGGTATATTTTGTGCTCTCCCTAATGCCTCTTTGGAAACACAGACAATAAAACAGTGTGTAAGTTCTGGGAAAGGAAAAAACACACTGTTAAAATTTATCGAGAAGAGGTCATAGAAGCTATCCCAGAATCATTGATAGCAACATGAATAAGTACTAATATGTGAATGATGTACAGGAATAGGTATAGGAATAGGAAAAAAGCAGACAGAAAAACAGTAACAGGTAGAACAGTAAAAACAACAATGGTTTAGAAGGAGAAGTTATATAGAGCCCGATTTTGCCAAAAAGGTCATTAGATAAAACATGATATAAAGGAGAGTTAAAGATGCCTTTGTACAAGCTCGGGCAACAGAAAATGGGGAATGAGACAATAATATACCAAGACTTGATCACTCACGAACTTGTAATAATAATGCCATGCCATCTTGTGTTGTGTGGAAATGGTTAATACAGATAAAATAATTGAAAAGTCTTCAAAAAAAATGCAACCAGTCTGTCAAAGAGACGAATACATTCTCATGTAAATTATAGCATTATTCCCAAAAAGCAAGAAGTGGAAGCAGTCATATTTGTCATCCTCTGCAGAACGGATAAAGAAAATGCATCATATATAAACAATCAAATACTACTCAGCTATTAAAAAGATAAAATCTTGTTTGTTGCCATTCTATGGATGAATGTGAAGTTCATTAGGTTAATTAAAAAAGTCAGGCACACAAAGAGGTACTGCAGGATTTCACTCACATTCATAATCTAACTAAGTTTATCTCACGATAGTCGAGCATAAAACTGTGGTTGTTAGCGGCTAGATAGAATAGTGGGGTAGAAGATATAGGGAAAGTTTGATAAACTGTAAATAAATTATATTTACATGGGGTGAAAGGCTTTGATGTTCTATTCTATAGAAGCCTAACTATAGAAAATGATATAATACTAGATATTTTCTAATTTTTAATGTTTTCACTATAAACAAATAATGAAAATTGGATTAGATAGATACATTTACCTGGATTATAACATATATAAGGCCAGCGCCGTGGCTCACTAGGCTAATCCTCCACCTGCGGCGCTGGCACACCGGGTTCTAGTCCTGGTCCGGGCGCCAGATTCTGTCCCGGTTGCCCCTCTTCCAGGCCAGCTCTCTGCTGTGGCCCAGGACTGCAGTGGAGGATGGCCCAAGTCCTCGGGCCCTGCACCCACTTGGGAGACCAGGAGAAGCACCTGGCTCCTGGCTTCAGATCAGCACAGTGCACTGGCCGCAGTGCGCCAGCCGTGGCGGCCATTGGAGGGTGAACCAACGGCAAAGGAAGACCTTTGTCTCTGTCTCTCTCTCACTGTCCACTCTGCCTGTGAAAAAAAAGACATATATAATATACATTTGTACCAAAATATCGCAGAATACCCAGTATATATCATGTGTAAGATAAAACCAAAATTCTAGCACTCACATTGGTAATGTAGAATCAGTACCTATTGTCACTATTACAATTTTTTAAAAAATAATTACTTCTTAATACATTCAATGTAATTTGTATTTACAATATTTTTTTCCTTTTGAAACTTTTAGTTCAAGAGAGAGAACCACCCATCTGCTGGTGCAGCCCCTATAATGGCCACAGGAAAAATCCAGGAGAGTGGAGAGAAATCTGGACTTCTAGGTGGGTGGGGACAGCATTAACAGGAGGCTAGAAGAAAGAACTAAGCAGCCACTTGAATAAGGCACTAAGAAGCCACTTAACCATTACTTGGAAGGCCCACATCAGCGGCTTCCACCCTTAGCTTGCAGTTCCTGTGCCTACCCTGGCTGTGAATCAGCACCATTTAAAAACCGACTGACTGCATTAAGGGAGTTCCACTTCCAAGGAGGCTGGCTGGGTTTGATTCTCACCTCCTACCTCCACCAGCACAGCACTGGGCCCAAGCTTCTAGATTCTACAACACAATCAGCTGTGTGGGTTTGCACCAGGATTGCAGGCAACTCTCCAAATAGGGACCTTAACGTCCAAACCACTATTACTGCACCATCCACTCAGGAGCCCAGAAAACACCTTTGGGTTATTAGGACCCCCACAGCAAGGCTGGAAGTCCTCCCTGCCCCCTCACTTGCAGCGCCAGGAAGCTGCCTTTGCCCTCCTTCCACTCCGACCCTAGTATATCCTGTTCATCAGTGCAGCTGAGGGGGCTGCAGGCAGAGCCTGAAGGCTCGGTAAGAGGAAGGCTGTGAGGAGGAAATCTCAAGTGGAAACAACTTTAAGAACATAGCATTCCCTTCCTGCCACCCTCTCTCTGCCTTCCTTCTTCATTTTCCTTTTTTTGTTTCTATTTTTTTTTAGATTTTTAGAAAGCATATTTTAAAATTATTTTACAATGCAAAGCCTTAATACTTCACCAAATAAGAAGTTGAACAAGTATAAAGAAAAACAATCCTAATTTAGTAGGAATATAGAAAAGAACTATAAACAACAGTTGAATGGAAAAATGACCATTTCACCCATATACAGTAAATCTTAAAGTAATCACAGATGTTTACAACTATAGTAGCATGACATGATTAATCACTGGTTTGACAGAGTTATAAAACAAAATTTAACAAAACTAGATTTGCAGCAACACTGATACATATGTTCTTTATTTTTTATTTATTTGTTAAAATTTTAGCTTCCACATATAAAAGAAGAAATAAGATCGAAGTCAGAGAACTCAAAAGGCTTCCATAGCCTTGGCAACTCATGACTAGAGCCTAGAGATTTCTGATGCCATAAACAAGAGTGTCAAATTGTTAAGCCAACAACAGGAGTCACTGTGTACTTACTCCTCACGTGGGATCTCTGTCCTTAATGTGTTGTCCAATGTGAATTAATGCTATAACTAGTACTCAAACACTATTTTACACTTTATGTTCTGTGTGGGTGCAAACTGATGAAATCTTTACTTAATATATACTAAATCGATCTTCTGTATATAAAGATAATTGAAAATGAATCTTGATGTGAATGGAATGGGAGAGGGAGCGGGAGATGGAAGGGGTGTGGGTGGGAGGGAAGTTATGGGGGGGGAAGCCATCGTAATTCATAAACTGTACTTTGAAAAATTATATTTACTAAATAAAAGTT